ATTATAGGTTTGCCTGCCTAAAAACTCCAAGACAACTGAAAAAACTAAAAACTAATGAGTCCAGTAAGGTAACCAGATAGAATATAAATATACAAAAATCAATAGGAAATTTATAATTATAATGGAAAAAAATCCTATTCACAAGAGTAACAGAAAGCAGTAAAATGAATAAGAACAAGAATAACAAGAAATATTAATGTATAATCAAAGGAAACACTTACACTTAACTGATGAATGTAGAAAAAGACCAAATAAATTAAAATTCATAGAATTATATTGAACAAAAAGACAGTAAAATATGACAATGACTGTATCAGTTTGTCAGGACTTTCATAGCAAAGTACTGCAGACTGGACCGCTTAAACAATGGAAAGTTATTTTCTCACAAAGTTATATGGAAGCTAGAACTCTAAGATCAAGGTGTCTATGGGGTGAGTTTCTCCTGAGGCCTCTCTCCTTGGTTTGTAGATGGCTATCTTCCCTCTGGATCTGTCTGATCCAAATTTCTTCTTCCTATGACACCAGTTACATTGAATTAGTGTCCCCCTAATGATTTCATTTTAACCTAATTATCTCTTTAAAGACTCTATCTGCAAATATAGTTACATTCTAAAGTACACTAGGGGTTAGGATTTCAACATGGGGCTGAGGACACAACTCAGCCCCTAACAATGACATTCCTTTTTCAAAGTAATCTAAAATTTCAAAATAATTATTATTAAAAACCCAACAGAACTTTCTATGAAACCCACCAGGACGAGTATAAAATTAACTCGTAAGAGTAAAATGCATAAGAAAATTGTAAAATAGAACGTCATTGACAGACAACTGGCTATCCCACATGTCAAAGCATCCGTAAATCCCTGGAAAGTTTTTATGGTACAGTGTTTATCAACATTCTCGACTTGGATCGGGAATGTTGGGGTTCATCCTAACTCAGCTGTTTACTAGCTAGCTCAGTAACACTGGGCAAGTTACTTAAACAATTTGGGCTTCAGTTTCCTAACACGTAAAATGGTGATAAGAATATTGATTACTACATAAGGTATTTGTGAAGATTAAGAGAATGGCCCAGGTTAAAGGTTCAATAAATATTAAAGATTATTGTTATTAAACTCTGTTTTTATAGAAATCAAACCTTATGGAGAATAAATAAATAGATCAATGGAACAGAATTGAAATTACTAAAAGAGAGTAATGCTTATATGGGAATTCATTCTATGAAAATGTTGGCATTGGGGCGCCTGGGTGACTCAGTCATTTAAGCGACCGACTCTTGATTTCAGCTCAACTCATGATCTCAGAGTTGTGGGATTGAGCCCCATGTTGGCCTCCACACTCAGCACAGAGTCTCCTTGAGATTCTCTCTCTCGGTTTCCCTCTGCCCCTCCCCCCATTCATGCATGCTTTAAGTAAATAAACAAAATTTTCCCTAAAAAATGAAAAGAAAAGATTGGCATTAAAATCTGTTAATAAAAGCTAACTATTAAACAAACTGAACAGTAAGTCACTCTGTAAAGAAATATTTGCAACATATTTAGCACATACAGAATTAAAATTTATAATGTATGAAAATGTTAAACTAGCAAAGAAAAATGAGCAAAAATTATGAACTGGCAAAAGAGGAAGTATAAAAGATAATAACCATGCAAAATTATGTTCAACATCATAAGTACTAAAGGAAATGGGATTAAACAAAAAGATATGTTTTATCCACTCAACTGGTTAAAAACTGGAACAATTTAAATTTCCAGAGTCCATAAGTTCAGAAAATGGAAACTTGATGTATTGTTAGTATAAACAATATATATAATGTACGTATGTATATAAACACATATATATAATAGAGTCTAAAAAAGCATATGTGAAAATGCCTATCAAAATTATAACATATACTGAACTTGACTCCACAGTTTTGTTTATAGGAATCTCTCTTACAGAAATAGTGAGAGACATAGTTGTATAGAATCTTAGTTCTTTGTAGTAGTAAAAAGTTGGAAACAACCTAAATATCCAGCAATGGGGAAAGGTTGAAAGAAATTCTATGGATTGCTAAAATGTTGGAAGAAATTCTATGGAATGCTAAAAAACACGAGGTAAGCAAATAAAATGACAAATAGGAAAATGTCTGTCAGTTCTTTGCAGTTCAAAAAGCTTTATGTCTAAATATGTGTAAATGCCTAGAAAAAGTCTGAAGATAAACGCCTGACCAATGGTTATCTTCAGACAAGAGAAAATGCTCAAAGACTAGGATACCTTCAGGCAGGTTTATTTTTATGTGTCTGAATAATTTGTGATTTTCAAAGTAACCACTTACTACTTTTATAAATTAAACAATTAAAAGATAAGATACCAACAATTAGTTCTGGGACTAGACATAGGCTGAAGGAACATTGCCAATTGCTTTTTATGGGAGATGAGCTATAAACTAGGATAGTGTTTCACAAATTACGCTTAGATAGTTGGAAGGGTAGTGCCATTGACAGAGAAAGGATACATGGAAAGACAACTGTTCTTAGTACCAGAAAAAGGAGAATCAGGGATCTTCTTTTGCCCTGATTTCATGTTCTCAAGTAGAAGGATATCCATTTAAATAAGACCTCTCTACCCTTACACTAATTTTTTGCTAAGGGAGAAATGTTGACTCAACTGACTGATAAGTTTGAAACAAATCAGCTCTTTGCTCTTTCTTTTTGGGATCTGACCATATGCATGTTTTGGGGTCTACTCTGGGTCATGTTATAAACTTAGTGGTCAAGTCTCTGTACCTAAACTGGGAATTACATTGTCCAGGCCTGCAGCTGTTCAGAACTGCCTTGACTCAGAGAATATTATGTCTAATTCTTGGGTTCTAGCAGGAAACCCACCACCCCCACATACATAAGCCGCATTCTCTAACCCAGCCTTTGTCATTAACAAAGCCATCACTTGACTCTTCAAGTGCCTGATTCTTGGGTCCATCTGTCAGTTACTTTCAAACCTTAGGAAGGTGGAGTTCTTCCATATATTTTTAGCACCTAATTCCAGATACTTACAGACAGATACTAATTCATTATCAGAGTTTCATCTATTTATTTATTTGTCCAGTCAGCAACACTGAGCTAGTCTCTGGAAATAGAAAGGTGTATAGAACAGGGCACCTAAACTTCAGGAACTGACAGTGTATTTGGGGGTCATACATAAAACAAATACAGCATTCTGTTAGTCAATTGGAAGGTTAGGAAAGAGATACATAAAGGAGGTGATATAAACTGAGTTTTGAGGATTGAATAAAGGTTCACTAGGTTGGTGATGGAAGATGGTGAGGATATGGCACAACAGGCAGAGGGAACAACATATACAAAGGCAGGAAATCTTGGGGAGAACTTGGTACATTCAGCAAGCTCCATGAAGTGTGGTGTAAGTGAAGTATGGGGTATATATATTGGGACGATGGCAGCCAAAACTAAGAAAAGGATAATCAAAAATGCATCATGCAATATGGTGTATACAATGCGTTTCTTCAATATGGTGGAGAAATCACTGAGGAATTTTTAACACTGAGGTAAAACGATAATTTCTGCTTTTTAAACAGATCACTCTGATGGCATGTGAAAGACGATGTTTCTCCATTCCTTTAAAGTAGACTTCTAACCCATTTCAATATAAGTTCCTACTGAGAGGTGACAAGTCCAGAAGACTCACTGAAAATTACCTTCTGCCTTCTGAAGAATTGGGGCTGCAATTGGGCACAATGTCGTTATCGTTATCACGTTATCATGTTATCATGTTGTTATCACCCTTTGTTCTGCCAGCTTCTTAAAAGAAATATTGACCAAGATTGATTTTTCTACTTTTCATTTTATTCCTTTTCAGAGGAGCCTCAAAAGGCAGGTTGTGATTATTTTTTTCCATTTTATACATTAAAAAATAACCATAAAAGAATTAAAGAGCTTAAACCAAATACAGGTCAAGAACAAATCCTAAATTTGGGTATCACTTAAATTCAACTAAGATTATACAGTGGTGGGTCATTTTTTTCCATATTAGAAATTCTCCCCATTATAACACTCATTCCCCTGCAGCCACAAAAAATAATTGTATTTTGAAATATACAATCTGACCATCTGCCCCTAAGTCTGAATTCAAATTCAAAGTTAGATGAAATAACCAGTGTGAAACAGGTTTTTACAGAGAAATTAAACTAATGTTTACTGCATACTGTAATACTTTTCTAAAGTTTTGCTAAGCTTCTCTCCTCTGATGTAAGTAGCACATTTTGGGTATTCTCCAAGGAATTCATAGTGTTTTGTGAATGCCCCTGGATTACTAGATGCCAAGCTAAAAAAATAAAATAAAAATAAAATAAATTAAAAGTACAAGCATTTTGGTAACCTTCCTGGATCATGCCATGACTTCTACATATTGAAAGAGTCACACCATGCTGAACAGTTTTGAAAGTCAAGAGATTCATAGAGAATAGCTCTGAAGGAATGGTAGTCTAAGCATTTAACCCTTTTCCAAAACTGGTACCCCTGTGCATCACTGGAGTGCATATAAAAGCTTTCTCAAAAAGAAACAGCACCAGAACACATTTCAGTTCATTTCTCTCTGACCTCTGACCTCGTGATTATATGACCTTACCATACGTGACTGCCATGTTTCATATACAGAACATATAATGGCATACATTTTTATGATTTTTCTAGAAATCTTATTTGTCAATTCCATGGTTGTTCAAACAACATCTTGTAAAATATTTTAGGGAACTGTTTCTGTCTCCTTCCAGAAGTCAAACTTGTTGGCATTTTAGTTAGATAGTTCTTCAGCTGTCATCATAGTTTTACTATCCTACTCATTTGAGTTGCATTATAATTTTGGCACCTGATGACAAGTTCAATTCAGAAATTCAACTGAGTTTATTTTATAGTGCATTCAATAAATTATCTAAGTGTGTAACTAGTAACATTACTGAAAGTAGCTGATAAAATTAGATAAAAACAAACTGCTATAGATTTCTTCAGAGGAAATATTCCTTACCGTCTTCATGTTGCTACAGATGTGTGCTTCTCATGTCTATGAATGGCTATGGCATGTTTAATTTCGGCAGACAGAGGTTAAACAGTCACTTTTCAGTAAAGTGTAAATAAAATTCACAAAATACCCTAATACTTTTGCTTTCCCTTTTATCCATTCCTGATGCCAAGGAATTCCCAAGGAAAAGAACTCTAACTACACACCATACATGCTCCCTGCATGTGAAGAATGATAGCCATCTGGCTAGAGCTTTGATTCTCCAAGTGTCAGAGCAGAAGGAACCATCCAGGAAAGCAATAGGCTGTAACATAAAACAAAAACTGAGATAAGCCATTGCCCTAAATTCCTAATAACTCTTTATGAGATTCTAATATGTTGAGTTAATTCAGTTTTTGTTTTGTTTTGTTTCTCCATCTTTGAGCCACTCTACGCTTATTAGTTTTGGCTAGAAACACAGGTTCTGAAATATAGTCATAAAGCCAGTTCTGGAAGCCATGTCAGCCCAAAGTCTAGACCTAGAAGTTCCAGATAAGGGTAATACAAGCGCTCATTCAAAAGTTTACTAGATTGTAAGCTGCTTGAAAATTAACACCATATTTTTGCTATAAAATTATATATAAAAAGTGTTAAATACTCCTACAAGTGCCATAGACTTCACTTCAAATAGATGGTAACTCATAATTTGACCATCATTAAATGACTAAAGGGAACATACCTTTTTATAAATGTCACTATCATTTTCTTGGCAATCACCTCCTCATTTATCATCAAAGTAATACCTGGGATGGCATATACAGAACTTGTTACAAGCAGTTTTCTTTACTAAATTAGTTGTTGGATTCATACGCCACCATATGGCTGCCAGCCACGTTCGATTGAAGTGGTTTGCCTGTAAAAAATGGGGGGAAAACATATTTCTATTCCCAAGAGGAAAAAAGGGAAAAAAAAAAAAACTTTCAAGTCACAAAATGTAAGGAAATTTTAAAAGCCCAAAAGAATGTATCTATCCCGTTGGTATGGGGGTTGAACCAATCTACAGGTGGTGTCCCAATACCAGCCCACGTCAGGGGGAGAGGGACTATGAATCTTCAGCACTGCTGTACGCTTCTCCCTCTTTGTTTATTACAAATGGTACCAATCATAATGATAGTATTCTCTTTGACATTGCAGAACAACAAACGTAATGCATCAGTGAAACTTCTTTCTAAATTAAAAGATCAATAGAAACTTAAATGTGATTAAAGTATTTATTTGAGGGAAATAAAGTATTTATTTGAGGGAAAATGATGACCCAGTGCCAGACATCGAGTCCTCTGAATATTTTAAAGGGACAGCATCCAACTCAGAGGATGTTGCCTTAGACGTTTTCCTACCAGGTCCACAGGGTTCTAGAGAGAGGCACCATGAGAAAGGTTCCCTTCAAATGACCTAAAGTTCCTCTCAGAGAAGGAAGCCCAGTAGGTACACAAAAATGCATAGAGTACCCAGAGACTCTGTCCATAGCTCTATCCCTTAACATTATAGGTTGTATGTTATTGATCTCTGGAACCTCAACAGCACGGTACCTGACATACACCAAATGAATAAAAATGTGATAAATGAATGAATAAGTAAATAACATCAATAAAGTAATCATTGACTGGAATGACCAAAAAATAATAATAATAAAAGTCAACATCAGATTATAATGCTCAGATGTATTAAATATAAAAGCTTTAATCTGTTGGTAATAGTCTTTTATTAGAATAATATATTCATGGGACAATAAATGCCTATAAAATCTGGATCCAATTCATTTTCTGTATAATAATTCTTTTCCTTCTTGTAACTCGAGGGTTATGGAAGAGCAAAATACTTCTAAATGTGTTATATTTATGATTAGAGATGACACAATAGGGGTGCCTGGGTGACTCAGTGGGCTCAGGTCATGATCCCAGGGTCCTGGGATCGAGCCCCGCATCAGGCTCTCTGCTCAGCGGGAAGCCTGCCTCCCCCTCTCTCTCTGCCTACTTGTGATCTCTGTCTGTCAAATAAATAAATAAAATCTTTAAAAAAAAAAAAGAGACGACACAATAATATGGCTCGACTATGCTTAACCATATTTACTTTACTATTGATTTCCTTCCTACAGTGTTATAAAGAAAACAAAAATAATGAACACACGATTGTAGGTTATTTTTAAAGTATCCCAAAATTCTTTGCCACTTTTATCGGGACAACTTGATGAACAAATACACCCAACCCCAGCCAAATGTTTATAACATGGTTTAATGACTATTCGTGCATAACGTTATTTTAATGATTTTGTTTTTCCACCAAAGTAGAGTGCAGTGTACGAAAGCCATGCCAAAAGGGCATACTGACCCCTTCTAATCTCTAATGAATCTGTTATTAGCCTAATAAGGATCTGGGGTTGGACATTTGGTGATAGCATAGTGTAATTTTAGTACTAACGATTTAAATGTTCTTAGCAAAGGGGCAGAAGAGAATGGGCAATTACAACTTAATACAAAAATGAAAGGCAGGCTAAATGACTTAGCATAGTCAAAAGCCCATCAATTTTGCATTCGGTTGGGATGCTGAGGTCTTTATATTATAGATTCTCAACCAAATACCCATAACCCTATGATCAAAATTCTGCTCAGTGAAGAGAAAATATAATTAAATACACAGGATATTGAGGGAAAGTTATAACATTTAATTTCTCTTCATCATCTGTCCAACACACCGCCAACACTTATTAACAAGACAATTACATTTTCCTTGTCAGTGGGACAGGAAAAAAATAAGAACATAGGTTATGATAATGATGTATGACAACATAAAAGCACAGATAATGTACACTGAGTATACAAATGTTCACTGAATGTCTATCACTCTTACTTTATGCTTACATTATTTTTACCATTTATTTCCCAAGGTGATTAAGAATTCCAGAATCCTTCATATATTACCATGGATTGTCAAAAACAATACACCTGCTTTTATCCACAAGAACAATCATTATATTGCAGCCTCGTAGGGGAGATTCACAAGTCAGAAATTACAATTCAGAATGATAAAATGCAGTGAGATTCCTAGCAGGGACATTGGATCCTTTGGAGATGAAGACAAGCAGGCAGCAGGAGGAAGATCTGGGAGGTCCTGATACAGAAATGACAGCTAAACTAGGTCTAAAAGAGGAGTAGGAATTATCCAGTAAAATGTGGAGGGAGAAGGGCAAAGGGAAATGGATTGGGAAAAATATTCCAGACAAAATGAAAAGCATCTGGAAGGCCTAGAAGAAGAAGAAAGCCTGAAACTGAGGGAAACAGGAAGAAGTTCATTAGAGAGTTAACATTATAAGGTTAACAGCACAACAGGAGGAGAGCGCAAGGTCCATGAGATAAGCAGGATCCCAACCATGAAAGGTCTTGTAAGCCAAGGCACAAGAATTAACCCTAAGAACACAGCAAAGCTAGAGAAAGGTTATAAACAGGGGTATGATAAGGCCACATTACTTTTTTTGAAATCTCACCCTGACTACCTATTAAAGGTGAAATGTCAGAGGACAGACTGTGCAGGAGGCAATGAATAAATTAGGAAGCTAATATATGAGCTACTTAAAGATATGTTAGTGACCCACTCCAGGACAGTGGCAATAGGAATGGGGGAAAAAAATGGGTGGATCTGAGGGATTTTGGGTGGTAGGATAAACAAGATGTAGTAATTGATTAGAGGACTGAATGGAGAGGAAGATGCCCAGGGTTTTGCAGGTGAGTGAATGGTGGCACTATTCTTTGACTTAGATTTAGAAAAGGAAAGGTGGAGGGAAGAAAGGAAGAAGGGGCAGTTAAAGCACAACTTCTTACAAGTTTTGATTTTCAGGTGTCTGTGAAATACTTAATTGTAGATGTCCTGAAATCACTTAAATATGACATTCTGGGGGTCAAGAAAGAGATATGGTATGGGGTTACGAATTTAGGATTAATCTTTAAGGAGCAGGGATTCTTAATCTGAATTTATGACAGGTCTCAAAAGATTCCAGGATCACCTGAAATTGTATGCAAATGTTATGGGTTTAATTTTATCTTCTTTGTCTAGTTTCTTAAGGTAAAATTTATTGATTAAATTTTTATTTTTTCTGATCCTAAAATTTATTTTTATAAATTTCCTTCTAATCACAGTTTTAGCTGCATCCCACCAATTTTGATATATAATGTTTTCATTTTCTTTCAAGTCAAAAAATTTCCTGATTTCCTTTGCAATCTCTTCTTTGACCCATGGATTGTTTAGAATTACACTGCTTAATTTCCATATGTTTTTATATTTTCTAGATATTTTTCTGTAATTGATTTCTAATTTAGTTCTGTTAGGATCATATGTTCTGTATGATGTGTCTTTTAAAGTTTATTGACATTTATTTTATGACCCAGTATCTGCCCAACTTTACAAATATTCTATGTACATTCCAAAAGAATATATACTCTGTCCTCTTAGGATGTAGTCTTCTATAAATGTGATGTAAGTCAAGTAGGCTGATGGTAACGTTCAAGTCTTCTACATCCTTACTGATTTCCTCTGGGTGTGTTCTATCAATTACTAGGAAGTGCTGAAATCTTCAAAAATAATTATTGAATTTGTCTGTTTCTATTTTCAGTTCTGCCACTTATTGCATACTGTATCTTAAACCTCAGTCATTAGGAACATACATGTTAGGCTTATTTTGCCTTCTAGATGAATTGACTCTTTCATGATCATCTCTGCTGATATTCCTTGTCCCATAGGCTTCTTTGTGTAATACTAAAATAGGCAGTCTGTCTCTCTCTTGATTAGCATTTGCAGGGTATCTTTTACTTCCAACTTATCTTTCCTTATACTTACATTACTTTTGTTCTAGGTAACATATATTTAGGTCTTGATCTTTTTTACCCATGTTGACAACCTCTCCCTGTTAATGCAATGTTTATGGACATTTTACATTTAATGTTATTATTGATATGGCTGGGTTTGAGCTTATCATCTTGCTATTTGTTTTCTGTTTTTCTCATCTGTTTTCATTTTTCTTGGTTATTTTTTCCATTTACTGATTTTAGTAGAATATTTTCTTGTGTTCCATTTTATCTCCTCTATTAACTAACATATCTCTGCTTTTAGTGATTGCTCTAGGGTTTATAATATGCATTTTAACTCATTACAGTCTACCTTCAAAATATTAGATCACTTCAAGTATAGTATGAGAACTTTAAATAATATCATTCCACTTCTCTCCTTCATCCATGGAGGTATTGTTATCTTACAGTTGCCAAAATATGACCTTTATTCCTTATAAGGGTGTTGTTAGAGAAAGTGGACAAGTGAACTTCATTACACTGAACCTCAAAATTAGAAAGACTTCTCTGTTCTAGACACATGTACTGCGTGGGGACCAGCCTCTATTAGATTTATGACATGGAAATGCAAAGAAGAAGGTTCTCTCTGGGAAGCCCATTTATAAGAGGAGGGAAGAAGGGAAAGCACTGATCTTCTTCCCACCTCATCAATGAGAGGTGACTCCAGCTCCCCCATTGCAGAGTGAATGTGGGGGCAGAGAGAAGCCAGAGTTACGCTATCAGAGTGCCCTCCACATATCTTCTTCAGGTTTCCCTTACCTGAGCATGCATTTCTCTAGTAATTCTTATAGCTTCTGATTGTCAAATTATATTCCAAATAAATCAGATAAGGTGTTTTTAAAATTAGGAAGAAAGTCTCTCTTCACCACCCACAGAACTTCTAATTTCTCAATTAGACCCCTCACACTCTGGTGACATAGCCAGCTGCTCATGCACTAAACAGATCACGGGGAATTCCCTTTGTGGGCCAGGCACTGTTACAGGTTGTTACAAGCACTGGTGATATCAATGGTGAGTA